TTTCGTGTGCCATCCTTTGACTCTAATTATTGACTTTACCCGATTTGGCATACTGCTAATAAGTGTACGAAGATACTTTTGTAATAAATTATTTCACTTGTCCCTTATGGCATTAATTAACTCTTCTTTTTTACGGAAATTGATTTTTGCTTGCGAAGTGCAAAGTCTAGATGTTCCCAAAAATTCTCGATAGGGTTTAAATCCGGGCTATGAGATGCCTATTCTAATATCTTAAAATCGTGAGTTTCCATTCACTACGTTAAATATTGTGAAGTATGAACAGATGCTAAATCTTGCTGAAATACTAATTAAGGTTCGTACGGATGGTTTTCTGCCAAAGATCTTACCCATGGAACAAAATACTTTGCAAGAATATCAATATAACCTTCTAAATTCATATTGCCATCAACTTCTACTAGCAGTCTGATTCCCCACCAAGAAAAACAACCCCAAAACATAATAGAACTTTCACCAAACTTTACCATAGCATTTATATAGTCTTTGTGATATTTTTCATTAATTCTACGCCAAACTCGAGTACGACCGTCAGACTTGTAAAGACAAAATCTTGATTCATCTGTGAAAACCACCGTTTGCCATTCATTTGTCCATTGTAAATATTTTTGACACCATTTGAGACATATTTTAGCATTTTTTTTTGTTAAATAAGGTTTCTTGCATGCAACGCAGTTCTTCCAGTTCAGGTCATAAAGGTATTTGCGGGTTGTTCTAGTAGAAAGAGTTGTATTAAGGTGCATATTAAGTTCATTAGTGATAACAGTAAGAGGTGTTTTGCGATTCTTATTTGCAATACGAGACAAAATACGTTCATCATGTTCAGAGAGAATTTTTTGGGGACCAGAACGTTTAGATGGGTGTTTGGAGCCAGTTTCTTTATAACGTTTGACTGTGTCATATACTGTCAACTTTGTGTAACCAAAAGTTTTTGCAATGGTAAGTGGACTAACGTCGCACAAGTAAGCACCGATAATTTGACTTCGCTGATCTTGACTGAGTTTCTTACGACAGACTTTATTTTCTTTTTTTGACATATCAGTCGGCCGACATGTCACAGATGATTATCATACATTTGCACACTTATAAAAAAAAATCGATTTGCATATCAAATTTACTAGTAAAAATTCATAAAACGTATGATTTTTTTGGATTTGTGGGCTACTGAAATGTCGTACACGGTTCTTTTTTAAATATAACATTTTTGTAGTTTTCTGTGAACAGCCATATAAATTTTGTCTATAGTTAAAAACAAAGTTGAAAATAATCTTGAGCCCAAAGTTGATGATTGAATACAAATTATATTATATTTTGCCACATCTTTTATAGATCATTAATAAGGTTTCTGAACACATTCATTAAATCAATAGAGGTCTCAATAAACAAGTGTCCATTGACTCATTGACTTCGTTGAAATTCTTCATCAGGTTATTTCCAACTTCATGTGTAATTGAAATTTTATCTTTACACTATTGAATCTTTTTTTTCAAAGTTATTGTAATTCTTTCAAGTCAATAAAAGGCATTGTTTTTGCTGATTTTGATTTTAACAAACAAATTAATAATAGAAAATTAATAAAAAATCACTTCATATAAAAAGCACAAATAACTTTACCTGTTCTAATTTGCATAATCAAAAAATAAGCACTAATCCCTTATACACTTTGCAAGAAACTTTGCTTCACTCTGATCAGGATGAACTACATGACATTTCAATGGATGTTCAAACTCTGAATAATGAAGATAACTATGATGACAATCCTTTATTTAATTTTGAACAAAACTTGTATAAGCAAGCTTTAAACTTAACAGAACATCAAGATGATTTATGGAAAGAGCTTAATGCTGAAGATATGATTGAACAGGATATTAACTACGAGGAAATTGAGGAAATTGAGGAAATTGATAGTGAATATAGTGAAGAAATTCCTGCAACTACACAAAAACCCACTACACTGTGTGTCATAATTGATAATGATTATAGAGAAATACGTCGCTGTAATAGAATCAGCAATAAGAGGTTGCAGGAACTTGTTGGTATTTGGGAAATTGATGCAAATGCTGTTGAAGAAGTTAACAAACAACTTCACCTTCTTGGAGTCTGTTCAAGACATTTTAATTACGATCAAAATACTGTACATAGAAAAAATCTAAAAAGCGAACGCTCAATTGATAAAAGTCAATTTAATTCTCGTATCTGCTTTTTTTGTCACAAAAAAAAAGTTTTTTTAGTCGTGGAGTAAGTTGTTTAGAACATACATGGATTGTACATAATCAAACAATACAAGTACCTTGTCGTGGAATGGTTCTCTGCCCAGCTATTAAAAATAGTACAGATACAAAAAATACAGAAAATTCACGAGGAGTTCGTTTTGTGTGTTGCCAATGTTATGAAAAGAATGGAGGGCATTTGCACATACGCCATGGCTCAGGAAATATTGTAGATATTGGATGTATTGCAGAACATTCAAATGATACTACAACTGCTCTTTATCATTTTGCAAAGTTAATTGAGATAGTGGCAGAGTCAGAAGATGATAATGTGAAAAAACATTTACTTCAAGCTCTATATCCATGTCTAAAAAACTTTGACTTGAATTCATCATCGACACAAATAAATAAGCTACCTAGCCTGTTTGTAGTTAATACAGCTTTCAAAATCAAAAAGTTAGATTTTTCTAAACAATTAAAACAATTCACATTGAAGCCTAAAAAATGTGAAGAATTTGGAGATTTACTTGCCCTTGAAATTTTAAAGTCACGTACTAGTTTATCTTCACATAAGGAGACATTAGAGAGTCCTAAAACTTTACAACAATATTATGAAGCAATGCCAAAATGTTTAACAAGCTTCTTTGATGGTCTGATTCTCACTTTGCAACTTAAAAATTATGAGATAGTTAAACGAAAACAAAAAGAACGCAAAACTACAATAACTGAGCTAAGCAAGAGTGAAATAATAAAAAGTACATCTTTTCTTTCCTCTGCCATTCTAACACATGCATTCAGAAGCTGGAAATTTTGGCTTCCACAAATAATTGGATCTTTTTGTGAACGACCCAAGCTTGCATCATATTTGCGTGCTATTCTTCGTGTTGCAAATATAGTAATATACTCAAAAGATTATGAGGTGAAAGTTCGAAAAAATCGAATATTAGAAACAGATGTACGAAAAAGAATAAAGTCAGGACCAAATATCTGGAACTTGGCAGTAATAGACAATATAGATTTTAAAGAAAAGACATTTAGAGCTGGTAATATTTATGATGATACACAAGATACCGCTCATGCTACCTTACGTATGGTTTTTCAGTTTAAAATGCCTAATATTGAAATATCACCTTCAATTTCTAATGTTTTTGCTGATGATCTGTGTGGAAACAACCAATTCACAGAGCAGTGGATGAGAAAGCTTACTCAGATCTTCAATCAGTTGATAGTAGAATATCCAATGGAATTTGCAATGAGTGAAATAAATTCTGCACTTAAAGAAGCAATAGGAAAGGGATGTAAAGTTCCTCCATCAAATGTTGTCATTTTGGAGGCTGGACCAGCACCAAATACTAATCTTGCAACGCATAAAGCCTGTGAAATGTATATAGAGGACTTAGAATTAAATCAAGGAGAAACTTTGGACATTGCTTGTGATGAAGCCATTTTTCGAAGACTTACAGATTTTTCTAATAATCAACTAAAATTAAATCCTATTCTTGGTCAGTGGCATACTAGTAAAGATATGTGCAGTGCTCTAATATCTGCCTTTTCTGGATATGGATTATTTGGATTAGCATCTATACTTGGCACAAAGTACCTGGAAAAGCTTCAAGATGTTGTTGATTACAGAGCAACATTTCGTGTTCTTGAGTATATTTGGGCAGCTGTAGCAATTGTTATTTATATATATATGGATAAACATCATATAACATTAGTAGATATTGAAAATGGAAATAATAATATTTTAAAAGTTTGGACCTTATATTACAAATGGGCAAGTTGGCTTAAGCTTCATAAAATTGGTATTCGGATGGGTAATTTTGAAGTTCAATATGAACACCTGAAAGCTTTTGCACCATTATTTCCTATTACAGGAAAAAGCAGATATGCAGTATCAGTACCACGTTTTTTAATGACAGTAGAAACAAATCCAATTCTGAAAGCAAAACTTCAAATAGCTGGGTCTATAAATCTTACAACAGATGAGCATTTTTTTGCATATGATGAAGCACTGGAGTACTTTGGTGTGAAATTTATTAAACAAAACATGACTGGGTATCCAACAGATCTTGATAATTTAAAAATGGTAATTAAAGCAGCTCAAAATGAAAGAGATCGGTTGTTAGCATTACATGCAGAATTTGTAACTGATAATTGTATAAGTAAAATCACAAATGCAAAAATTGATCGCAAAAAAGCATTATGGAAGCTAGTAAATACACTTTCTGAAGCTATTGAATGCAATGAACCCAAAAAACATCCGCTTTTTGAGATTTCTAATCAATTAACACCTGATGGATATGAGCGTATGTTTACCTGTTATAATAAAGGAATGATTAGAATCTCAGATATTATTAAACAAGATATTTTGAAAGTGGAAAAACGCATTGCAAAGGGACGAGCAAAAAAGGATTTGGAACCCTTGCTTCTTGGAAAAAAAGCCTCCCAAAGTAAAAAAAAGCGAAATATGGAAGATATATCATTATAGGCAACTGATAATAATATCCAGCAAAGGGTTTTTATAATGACAATTAATTGCAAGAATGACTTCTACTGCATTTTCAAATTATTAATTCAGTTTTACTAATCCTGAAGAAATGCTTATAAAATATTATAATAAAATGAATTAGTTTAAAAAATTTTTATTTTTAATAGCTGATAGATACTATCAATTTATAATAAAGAGAATAAATTATAGTGGCAGGTAGAATAAAGCTCAGTTATATTTGTAAATCTTATTTCTTTATATACGATTCTCTTTATAAGTTTTTTTTTTTTGAATTTTTAAAATAATCCTGGTAAAATATATATTTTCTTAAAGCTCTTAACCATTATAACCTTTTTAGTCAATTTTTATTTGCTCAATCCATATATTTGAAAATAATCTTGAAAAAGAAGTAAAATTTGTTACTACTTTTGAAATGTCACTTATTTAACAAAATGTTATTCAAAAAAAACGAATAAACTATAATTTTATAATATAGAAGGTGTAAAACAATTTTTTTTAAAAAAATATATATATTTACTAATGAAAAGATCCAATTTTTGTATAAAAACGTTTGTTAATATAATAATATAATTTTAGAAATTTATAGTAGATCAATTTCGTATGACATGTCGGCCAACTGCTATGGTTGTATTGCAAAAAAAAAAGAGAGACCATTGGAAAAAAAATTAATAAAAATTATTTTTAGCCATAATCAAATCCACCTCATCTATAATAAAAACACTTACCTTTATTATATGAATCTTAGCTTTTTCATTAGCAACAGACTCACCGATACTGGTGACAATATATCTGAATAGATAAATTCCTATCAGCTTATCCATCCACTTTAGACCATAGAAGCTCTTATGGAGCTTGAAAAATGCATTCACTAATAGGTCCAACTAGTTTATTCACTTATCTTAGATATCAGATGTTTGCTTATAGTGGATTCAAGATTCTTATGGAGCTTAAAAAATATATTCATTAGTAGTTTACTTTCTAAAGTTCCAGATCTAGGAAGAATATTATAAAAGATATTTTTTCAACAGGTTTTTTCTTTCCAGTAAGGTATTCTGCCATAAACCAAATGGATAAAGTTTTGTTATATGTTATTAAAATATATAAAGTTTCTAGAAAAAGGAAATATAAACAAATAGAAGAGATACTAGCCTTCAGAAAGTAAGATTATTAAGGAAAGTATATAGACTTTATTATTAAAAATAAAGAAATATTTTTAAGAATATCTGTTTTTTAGATTGGAAAAAAAATCAGTAGAAAAAGTTCCCTTTTTTTATTGATTAAAATATTTAAAATACTTATAGTATAATAAATTTATATTTATTAATGGTTATTAAACAAAATTTATTTACTATTATTAAAAATTATTGTTTAATTATTTTTTATTAAATTAAAATAAAACTTTTTTTGATTTTAATATTTATATATTGTTAAAGTTATTTTTGAAAAGTCTGTCGCTTCCATCGCAGGCTTGTATCACATTCACGGTAAGTATGTTAAAGTTTCCTTGAGGTGTATATTATTGACTTGACCAAAATGGGATACTCTTTCTAATTCTTTTTTTCCTTTTCTTTTCGTCACTGCACTTCCTTGACAACCTTTCCACTTTCCTATTTTCCGGGAATCCTGGTGTCTTCCTCTTTCACAGCGAATACTGGATTCAAGTAAGATTTAATTAGTTTTTCCCTTTTAAGGCAACATCTATTGCACAGCCTAAAAAGAAATATCTTAATTTAGGAACGGTTGTCTTTATTTCATGTTAATTCTATTGGTTCTTAATTAATTAACTGTTGCATACTCTTTAGTTAATTAAGTGTCACACTTTTTAGTAATTAGATGTTGCACTTTTTAGTGATAAGATGTTACACTTTTTAGTGATTAGATGTTGCACTTTTTCTATCTCGTCCTATCTATTTATTTATTTATGACCCTCATCTTTTTGCTTATTGTAATATCATTTCCATAATTCACTTCTATAGATTATTCCAAATTTATGACAATTGTAACTCTAATTTTAAACTTTGCATTTCCTAGATCTACTCGTAATTAAGCCCCTAATTAGGTATAGTATGCAAAAATTGCGTTTGTAACCTAATTGGCTCAACTTTTATTCCTAACAATATACAGAGAATGGACAAAAGTTTATAGACAACTTTTTTCTTTTTTTAAATAAAATTTATTTTAAAAACCAATTAAACTTTTTTAATAAAAATATACTCAATATATAAGTATAATATATTCAATTTATAAAAATGTGTCATATATAGTCCCCTATAATAAATTATCAAAAATAATTATCATTATATAATTTTATAAAAAAAATTTTTTTTTTGTCATTATTTAAAGTTTTTTTTATATTTATTAAGTTAAAAAAAAACTAAATAAAATAAAATGCCAATATTTTAAATTACTATTTAAAAATTTTAAAAAATCCAAAAATTAATATTTCATATGTCCACCTTTGATCTTAATTATTGTGTTAATATGTTTGGACAAGCCTAAAATCAGATCATATAATGTTTTAATACTAATTTTTTTTATTTATCTTGTATAGTCTTTATCAGTTCTTGTTTTAATTTTTTTTTTTTAATGGGTAGCTTACACCTTGTTTATTGAATATTGTTTTGAGCATATACAACTTTGTAAATTACAAAATTTAAAATTCTATCTATTCTCTAAACTCACTAAAGATTGCCTTTACCATGTGGCTTATTGCCAAAAGAAATTTATTGATATATCTTTGACTAATTTGCCAAGGCTTTACCAATTCCTATTAAAAAAAATTCTAAATCTATATAGTGTGTCCCAGTTGATTCAATTATTTGTTGCATGGTTCATAATTGAATTGATCCCTGGTATATTTGTTTTTTGTTTTATCATTTTTTTCTTGTTAGTTGTCCATATCCATTTGTCCTGTTGTGAAATATTGTTTTCTTTTTCCCATTGTATAAATTGTTCATTTCTCTATATCCAAATCTTTTCCAGACTTCGAAGGATTCTGTTAAGGATACTTCGTATGGTTTCCTTTTGTATAGTTGAAGCTGTATTTGTTTTGATAATAGTGATAATTCCATTAGTTAATGCTTCTCTCATTATACAGTTTAATGTCTCTTCTGTTTAGCTTTGTATATGTTTAGAGATTTGTTAATGTATTTGTGATCCTGTTTTTTCCATTGCTTTGCTTATTATTTTCTCATTAACTATCTGTTTGATGGTATTGATTATATTTGTTTGGTTGTCATTGCAAATCATGATGTATGTATTGGTTTCTGTAACTTTGTTACATCTTGGACATATGTTGTCTATATATATTGTAGTGGATCGTGTGTGTAATTTGTCTTTGGATGGAAGTTCCAAGTTTCATAGTTTTACACAAAAACTTCTAGTCCGATGGTCTTGGTTATCTGTGTTTCCTATTGTGAGTTTTGATGGCTGTCTGAATTTTAATATTGGTAACTATGCAATTTGATCAATTGTGTTTTGTGTTAGAGTGTTTGTGTTTCGATTAAGCATTCTCCAGTTGATGACATATTTTATTCTGGTGAATTTTTTTATTATTCTGGTAATTGTGTTATCCAGGGTTTGTTTGTTCCATTGAGGTATCCATTTGAGCTGTTGATGGTTAATTGATTTGAAATCTATATAATTTTTTGATTCTTGACAAGCTTCCTTTGCCATTCAATCTGCTTGATCATTGTTAGGATCATGACTATATGCTTTAACTTTAATCCATGTAACTTTGATTTTTTGAGATTGTATGATGTATATGATTGTATTGATGATGTTACTGTTTTGTAGTGTTTTGAAATGTTTTACATTCATGGTTGCTTTGTTAATTGCTGCAAGTGCTGCTTGGCTATCACTGCATATCATTATATTACTTCCTGCTGATGTTGTAATTAGGGCTGTTGCTATATTGGCCAATTCGGCTCTGGTCGATAATGGAAAAGATGTGATTCTTCCTTTGAAATTTGCATTAGGGCAGTTGAGTATATGTCATGCAAATCCCATGTTTTTGTGTCTGTTGAGAGAGCCATCTGTATATATGGTGATTGGCTTATGGTTGTTAAGAATAGATCTGATGTTCGTGAGCTGTTATAGTGTGCTACTAGATGTGTTGATGAATTCTCTGATTGTTTGTATATGGACTAGAGTTTGGTTCATGTGTATTATTGGAATTGGAGTGTGTTGTGATTTTGTGAATTTGTTTGTGATTATTGAATGGAGGCTGTCTGGTGACATTTTGATTCTATATTGTAGCTTGTTGTCTGTATTGTTTCTAGTACTAGTGCAGCTCTTGTGTACTGGTATACATATTAGACTGTTGGGAGCCACTGAGAAGCTGCATTTTTCATGTGTAGTGGATGTATTGAGGTCACATCTGTTACATTCTTGTAGTGGTGAGCTGTTGTTTGTTCGATTGTAGTATTGGATTTTGATAAGTTTTTTACTATATTTTCTTTCCTGCCAATGATATCTATATTATTTTGTCGATATGCAACCCATTTGATTTCTTTTGATTTTGTTTTTACTGCTAGGTTGTAATTTGTTTTGAATATATTTTGTTGGTGGCTTGTGTTTTGAATTATTTGCAGTATGGCTGTACTGTTTTGCAGGTCTATATACTATTTTGGTTTGCACCTGTTTGGTTGTTGGTTCGGGAGTGTGATTTCTTGCCATGCTGCTAATCTGTTACCTTGATAGTTGATGCATTAATGTATGAACATTACTTTGTTTTTTGCTAGCTGTTTTCTATGTTTGTGATGCCATTGGCTGCCCATTACTTCTTCTAATATTATATCTAGCTTGGGTATTGTATGAATTGCTGATGTTTCTGCTGTGAACCTGTGCTGTTGCAGAAGAAAAATTATATTATATGTGAGATCGTGTTTGTGTGAAATGAATGGTCTTGTGAAGTTTTCTCCAGTTATTAAATTTGTTGACCACCATTGGTTTTGTAGTTCTTGTAGTCTGATTGAGAT